GGTTGTTCTACAGGTTGTTGAGCCTGATTAATGGTGGTTTCTTCCTCTACAAATATCCCTTGATTTCCCCTTATTTGCGCCCTTTGGGGCTGTCGAACAGGAGGGGGTACTCCAAAGAAGTCAGCCAAACGCGTCATTTGCGCTGTAACTTGCTGATTCGATTGAGTAGTATTTTGTATTAGAGGATTTAGCACTGTACTCAAAGTTTGTGCCAACATTTGCACCATATCATGGTTGCTTTCGTCCATCTGTTGCCTCAAGACTGCTGTCGAGGCATTTGTAAGGCCATGGGCTACTTGGGACGTTCCTCCTAAGAGTTGGGTCCTATTTCTATTCGCCATGCCTACTCCAGAGCCTTGGAGTGGCGAAGAAGCACTCACGAAAGGGTCTGAATACGTGGACGCAGCATTCGTCAGGCTTGCCACTTCAGAAGTTGGCATGCCATAGAATGGAATGAATCCTGGGGGAACCACTGGCCTTGTGCCAATATTTCCCCTTGGAGGGGGGGTTCCCAAAGGCATTCTGGGGCCTGTAAACGAAGTTATTGGCCCCGTGGTTGTGACTGACACTGCTGGTGTCGAACCAACATTCGTCGCTTCACTTACGGTCATATTAACCGTTGCTCCCACACTCGTTTGTGGGATTTCGTTGTTGGTTGGCGGATTCGCCATCTCTTCCCTTCTTCTGGCAGTATTGTTATCGTTGGTGTATATTCTACCACTCCTCAATAACATACAACTCGAAAAGATGAGATTATTTTTCAATCAATCAACACACAGTCCCACCAGGTGTGCCAATTTGTTTACCTTGGGTTTTGGTAAACAACCGCTGATCCTCCAAATGGTTACTTATTTGGTTACTCGCAGGATCGATCAGATTGATCCTATGGACATAGGTTGATTTTGAAGTTTGATTAAGTTGGATAAGGCTTTAAGTAAATTGTTTAAAGTAAATTGCATAAAGGAAAGGCTTGGTAAAATAAACAAGGCTTTAAAGTAAAGGTTCGACAGGAATTTAAAGGAGAAAAAAGCAAGTAAAATACTGGAAAAGTAAATGACTTTAATTGATAAAATTGGTGTTTCACACATACATTTCTCAACAATTCTTTCGCTCACACTGGGTACTTGAATCTAAATGAGTGACTATGTATTTTATTGTGAACCCACGCGAGAAACTACATGTCTACTCCTATTTATACAGAAACATTCCAAGTAACCGTCGGGCAGTTACACTGCTTCGAGATCAAGCCACTTGGCACGTTCTCCATGCTCGACGCTCCAGATCTTTGCACGTTTGCACGTAGTAACTGCTGGAAACCGTTTTCCCTCCAAAGCTTTGAATTTCAAACTGCTCCACTCTGGACCATCGAACATCTTCATCAAGAAACGTCTTCGACGAAAACTCCTTCGACGTCGAAGGCAATCAGCCTTCTTCCTTGGAAGAAATCTTCTAAGTATTTTGCCATCTTTCGACGGGCACTTCGACAGGCTTAGCCAGTCGAAAGCATCTTTCAGCTTTTAATGGCTGCCATCAATCAAAACAAAGGTGTCGAATTTAGGAGCCAACAGCAGGGAAGGAGCACAAATGGACCATCTTTATCGATGGAGCTTCCAGCTCGATCGGGAGTGGAGCAGGAATCCTCCTCGAAAACGAGAAAGGCGTCATGATCGAACATTCGCTAACTCTCTCCTATCCAACCTCAAACAATCAGGCAGAATACGAGACTTTACTCGCGGGTCTAAGACTGGTCGAGAATTTAGGTGCTCGTGATATACAAATTTTCATTGATTCCCAACTTGTCGTGTCTCAAGTCAAGGGGGATACCAGGCTAAGAATAATAGTCTCATTGAATATTTAAACTTGGTCAAAGAACATATGAAAAAGTTTGACCGAGCAGAAATTACACACGTACCACGCGAACAAAACACACGGGCCGACATACTTTCAAAGCTCGCAAGTACGAAGAAGAAGGACGGAAATAAATCTGTCATACCAGAATCTCTATCTCGTCCGAGCATTGAAAAGTCCACGCCTTTACTCGAGGTGAATGTCATCGGGTACGATCATGCTGGATGACCCCGGTGTTCAATTTTCTAACAAAAGGAGAACTTCCCCTGGACCAAAGGGAGGCAACTGCGACCAAATGACGAGCATGCTCTTATGTGGTGCTCGAGCACAAATTGTATCGTCGTGGATTTTCCATTCCACTCTTGAAGTGTGTCGAAGAATCCGATGTCCCTGGGATACTACGGGTACTCCATGAAGGAATCAACACCCAACACATGGGTGGAAAGTCCCTAGTACGGAAGACGTTGCGGGCAGGATACTACTGGCCGACCATGCAACGGGATGCCAAAGAACATGTCAAGAGGTGCGACAAGTTCCAGAGACATGCTGACATGCACCTCGCTCTCCCGCACGAGCTAAATACGCTATCGTCTCTGTGGCCATTTGTCTGGTGGGGAATGGACATCCTCGGACCGCTCGTACAAGGAACATACCAAAATAAATTCCTCATCATGGGCGTGGACTATTTCACCAAATGGATAGAGGCCGAAGCCCTAGCGAAAATCACCTCGCGCAACATCCTTTGTTTTTACAAACGAAACATGCTCGCTCGGTTTGGGATACCTCAAGTGCTCGTCACGGACAACGACACACAATTCACCGACCAAGATTTCCAAAGCTTCGTTGCCAAACTCGACACAAGCAATATTTTACCTCGATCGAACACCCCCAAATCAACGGAAAAGTCGAAGCCGCGAATAGGGTCATTTTCGAGGACTCAAGAGCAGGTTAGGTGAAGTCAAAAGGGAATGGGTCAAAAGAACTACCACAACTCTCACTGTTATACAACCTTGCGAGATGGTATGACAAAGATTATTTATTCTTATTCTACTAGAACAACCTTAATGAATTCTGTGCACAGAAATGTGACATTTGTTATTTCAGTTACTTTATTGTTTGGTTGTTGAACGTGTACCGGAAAATGATTACATGTCGCCATTATCTGAAGCTCCAGTACACAAAAAGTCACAATGAAGAAGATAAAGAAGTTTTGTATAACATTATTGTGACAAATTTTTATTCTACTTACTCAGGTGATTCGTCCATGAGCGATATTACACTCGTTGGATGGGAAGCTCAATTATCTATAATGGAACAAGCTTGTCATGATGGTGAAAAAGTATGTGACTGTTGTTTTTAAAGAGAAAGTGTTAAAACATGTCATCCTTCAAAACTATATCCATTATACTAATTTTTGATTTTGTTTCTTATTCTTTTCAACATTCTCTCTCTCACACACATACTTACTTTCAAATTGAATTATGTCAAGTCAACACCCTTTGAAATTGTGAAGTTTACTGGTTAAACAATCACATATCTCAACAACCAGGCACATTAGCAATTTTGCATTTTATTAGCTTTTAATTTGTGCCTGTTATGTTATAGAAAATTCGGAGATCCATCATATTTGTTTTGAACTTTATATTTGTTAAAGTTTATTTGGAAGGAATCCAATTGATAGAATATTATATCTGCTGGAACATAATAAAACTCTGTCATATGTTTAGGACTGTCATTCTCTATTAAGTATTTAAGTTAGCATTGATCACAACAATATCATTCTTTTGGATCTTACCACCATATAAATAATAAAGATCAAAATTGTTTTCTTTTCTTTCTGCAGGTTTTAACTCAACAACTTAATTCTTGGAATTTTCATGTACTAACTTATGGAGATTAAAAAGAGGTTGAAGTTCACAAGTGCTCATAGCTAGAAGATATGGTTAGTTTACTAATGCATAAAGCTGGAAGATGGTTAATTTACTGATGCATAAATCTCTCAAGAAACATTCTACTATTCAATTTTTAATGTTTTGTAAATTTTTGTTATAATTATTAACTAGAGTAAAGTGGATGAAATTCGTAGAAGGTGGATACATAAAATTCTTGGCTTTCAGTGACTATCACAGTTACATTTTCTTTTAATGTATTTTGATAATAAATATTTATAATATATATCACAGTATTTTTTACAAAGTATTGATATAATTAATACATTTGCATTCATAATATAATGAATGTAATCAAGTAGAAAAATGACAATCAAGTATTGATTTAAAGAAGTGAATAAGTGTATTGATGTGCTTGTTAATGTGGGGTTGTAATTTCGGACTTGACACAATGATTTATCTAGAAGTTCTAGACTTTATTGTTAGACTTTTGGAGGAGAACTCTTGTTGTGGTGTCTCTTTCGTTAGATTGATGTTTGTGCAGTTTCTTTATGTTTTGGACATTTGACTTTTTGTAACCAAAAAATAAAAATTTAATAGAGGATTTATATTACACTTTAATACTCCTAACTACTCTATTTTTTTCTTTTCACTTTTGTTTTCTTTCACCCTTTACTATTAAAAAATAAATAAAAAATAAACAAAACTTGTTTTTGTGTGTGTTTTTTTATTTGTCATTTTTGTGGTTTTTATTTATGTCAATTTGGAAGTAGACACTTTACATTTAATTTTGATAATAATGTAGGTTATTTAACAAAATATTTAAAAAATGAACATAACTTTCAAGGAAAAGAAAATTGATCGTAAAATTTAATTTTAAAATATTAAATATATTATAGACTTTTTGTCTTTTTTTTTTCTTCGAAACTTCAAATAAATCAAGTTTTAGATACTATACTATATATACATATTTTAAATTTCACACCGCTTGAGAAGGTTCAAGGTTCAAACTGAATAATCCAAAACATGACACCCTTAAACTAACTAAAGTTCAAATTGAAACTTTTGAAGAATATATATAAATTTATTATAATCACAATAAATCGAAAGCTCAAAATCTTACTAAAGCAATCATAAAAAAAGAAAAACACAAGAATTCATATATACCAAAATAGTGAAAACAATAGTATCTGAATGGTTTTTGAATTTGTGTTTTATACAAGAATTACTCTAACCATCACAAATTCTAAACCCTAGAAAGACCTAAACATTATGAGTTGGATTTTGTGGAGATTCCTGTGTATTATTTGATATTCTAGAGGATTCATGAGAATCATCTGTAGTAACAGGATATCCTATTCCATGTCTATGTTGTGGAAATATCACAAATATCCAACCAACAAACACACCAATAACTGGAGGCAAAACCTGCAGAAGACGCTGCTGAGTTGACTGAAAAGAAGGGTAAAAACAGTGCACAGTATTTGTATCAAGAAGTCCAAGTAATGCAAAAATAAGCAAAGACAAAGAAGCATGCACAAAATCACTACCCCTAAGCCTATACTTTGATAAATCAACCAAACTCGTCGACTCCGGTGAAGGCCATAATCCTTTAGTTGTTACAACGCCGTAGTGTCTCTTTTTATCAGTTCCTGTGTAACTGTCTGTGAAAGTTGAAAAGAAACAGTTGAAACCGCATGTAAGAAGTAGAATTGAGGTGAGGTACTTGTTGCTGGTTTTGCACTGACCACTGTTGGTGAGAACAGGGTTTAAGAATTGGAATAAGAAAATTGTCCCTGTTGGGAGTAGTTTTATGAGGCTTCCAATTCCACCGGCGCTACTTATTGTTGGTGTTGTTTCAATGTTTAAGGTTTGTGAAGGAACTGTTTCATTTTCATTTATTTTATTCATCTTAATAAAAGAGAGACTAAGCTATCTAAAGGTTTCTTTTGGTTTGGTTTGTTTGTTTTCTTGCGTATTGAATTTATACAAGAGGAAAGAGAGATAGGAGCAACTTCGTCGTAAATGACTCATAATGTTGATTGGACTTGGTTTTAGTCTTGAAGTCTAATTAAGATAGAATGATATGAGGCTGCTAGTAAATCACGACTTTTGAAATATCTTTTACAAAAACTTAAAATAATGGCCATTTGTACAAGTGCTCTATGCCATGCACGTTGAATAAGTCCAAAATGATTAATAGTAGTAAAAAGTCTAAAAATACATTATTACATAGTGACTCAGTCCACCATTTCACATATATTAAGAAAAATATAGAAAATTAAGAGAATAATGTTTTTACGTACTCTTAATCATATATTAAAAATGATGAAAGTTTAATTAATTAGATGATAGAATTAAAAAAATATATTGAAAATTGAAAGGTGTCATTCATTTTGAAATACTATTTTATTATAAATGTGTCACTCATTATAGAACGGAGAGAGTAATAAAAGTTCAACAAGAAGATTTTTTTTAATAGACAACAAATTATATTAATAGGAGTACAAGGGGTACTCTACCTAACCAAACAAACTACCTTCTTGTTAATTTTGGAATAAACTCATAGTATTATTCTGATTTGGAAAGTACAAAATAGTCCTATATATATATTGTTTAAGTAACAAACTTAAACAGAATTATAACAAACTAATTGTTTAGTAACAAACTAAACAGAATTGTAACAAACTTAAACAGAATTATTTTCATCATGTAATAGCCCCCCACAAGCTGGACTATGGATGTCTAATAGACCAAGCTTGGAAACAAGAGAATCGAAAGAGGGAGCTGCCAAAGGCTTGGTGAGAACATCTGCCAATTGAGCAGCAGAAGAAACTGGTAAAAGGTGGATGAGACCAGTTTGGATTTTCTCACGAATGACGTGGCAATCAATTTCGATATGTTTTATCCGTTCATGGAAGGTGGGATTGTGAGCAAGGTAGATAACACTTTTGTTGTCACAATAGACTAAACTAGGTTGATCAAAGGAGATGTGGAGATCCTTGAACAAATATTGCAGCCATTGCAATTCACAAGTCAAGCTTGCCAAGGCCCTGTATTCCGCTTCTGAACTTGATTTGGATAATGTAGACTGCTTCTTGGATTTTCAGGATATGAGAGAATTGCCAAGGAACACACAATATCCAGTTACGGATCTGCGGGTAGCGGGACAACTTGCTCAATCTGAGTCTGCGAAGCCAGAGAGTTTGAGGGGAGAGGAAGATGAATAGAACAAACCCTTGGCAGGAGCACCTTTGAGATACTTGAGTACTCGAATTTTTGTAGAATGATGAACTTGCATAGGTTGTGAGATGAATTGGCTGAGCTGTTGAACGATGAATGCAAGGTCAGGTCTGGTGGTAGTCAGATATAGAAGTTTTCCAACAATCCTTCGATAAGCTGTGACGTCTTTGAAAGGTGGTGAGTTATCATCATGAAGCTTCAAGGAGGAATCGAAGAGAGTAGAGCAAGGTTTAGTAGCCAATAAGCCACTGTCTTCGAGCAATTCCAAAGCATATTTTCTCTGATTGAGAAAAATGCCATGAGTTGATCTGGCAACTTCTAGACCAAGAAAATATTTAAGCCTACCAAGGTCCTTGATTTTGAAAGTGGAATCAAGGAAGCATTTGACATATTAGATTTCCTGCAAATCATTACCGGCTAAGACAATATCATCAACATAGACCAATAGGGCAGTAAAAGAAGAGTCGTGTGATTTTGTAAAAAAAGAATGATCAGCAGAAGAATATGAGTAGCCAAGAGAAATAAGGGCAGTGGACAATTTCGAAAACCACTGCCTGCTAGCCTGCTTCAGGCCATATAAAGACTTATTCAATTTGCAAACTTTGTTGGTCGAAGAAGTGCAAACTTCGTTGGTCGAAGAAGTGCAAACTTCGTTGGTCGAAGGAGTGCAAACTTTGTTGGTCGAAGGAGTGCAAACTTCGTTGGTCGAAGAAGTGCAAACTTTATTGGTCGAAGAATTGCAAACTTCGTTGGTCGAAGGAGCAGAAGAAGTGCAAACTTTGTGGGTCGAAGAAGTGCAGACTTCGTTGGTCGAAGAAGCAGGGGGCAGGAATCCAGGAGGCAGATCCATATACACTTCCTCATGTAGATCACCATGAAGGAAGGCATTGTTGACATCGAGTTGTTCCAAGTGCCAATTCTTAATGGCAGCCACTGAGAGAAGGGTTCGAATAGAAGTAAGTTTCACAACAGGTGAGAAAGTGTCGAAATAATCCACACCCTTCAGCTGAGTATATCCTTTTGCTACTAAACGGGCCTTGTATCGTTCGATGGATCCATCAGCATGATGCTTGATTTTGTAGACCCATTTGCAACCAATCGATTGTTTTCCTGCAAGCAAATCAACAACAGACCAAGTATTTGTAGATTCAAGAGCATCTAACTCAGATTTCATAGCATTGTTCCAACAATCAAACTTGCAGGCTTGTTTATAGGTTTTTGGTTCTGTGAAAGAGCTTATGGATAGACAAAATAATTTGTGATCAGGACTGCATTGGCTATAAGATAATACAGAAGAGAGAGGGTAGTTAGAGGAACCTGAGTCAAATGCTGACAGCATGGGGGATAGCAAATTGCAGTGATAATCAGATAGGTAAGCTGGAGGTTTAATATTTCGATTGGATTTTCTGGTTGGCACAGGAGGGGAGGGGAAAGGGGAGTTGTTAGTGTCATTTGAGGAAGAAGAGAGGTTAGTGGGAGAATCTGGCTGGGGGAGAGAGGTAGGGGAGGAACGTTCATTTGATGGTGGAGGTGAGATGGGTGGATTATTGGTGAAAATATCAGGTGAGTCAAGGGAAGGAGGGTCAGGAGTAGGAATTATAGGATTAGGTGCAGGTGAGATGGATGCAAAAGGGAACACAGTTTCATAAAAGAATACATTCCTTGAAATGTAAAATTCATGTGTGATAGGATCATAGAGAAGGTAGCCTTTTGTGCCTTCCCTGTAGCCAAGAAAAATAGATTTCCTTGCTCTTGGTTCGAATTTGGTGTGATGGTTAACTAAGGTCGAAGAATAGGAAAGACAACCAAAGACTCTCATATGGTTAAGGCTGGGAGGAGTAGAATGGAGTTTTTGGTAGGGAGAGTGGTTGTTTAAAAGAGGAGTGGGAAGACGGTTTATAATATGAATGGCTTGTTGTATGGAAAGGTGCCAAAGGTTGTGAGGGAGGTGAGAGTGGAAAGAGAGGGCACGGGCAACATTCAAAATGTGTTGATGTTTTCTTTCCACGATTCTGTTCTGTTGAGGCGTTTCCATACAAGACCTTTGATGAATGATTCCTTTAGAAAGGTAGAAAGTGGTCATGAGAAACTCAGGACCATTATCACTTCGAATGCACTTGAGTTTCTTGTTGAATTGAGTTTCGATAAAGGATATGAAGTGAATTAAATGGTTTCTGGTTTCACTTTTGTTGGCCATAAAAATTGTCCAAGTAAACCTGCTGTAATCGTCTACAAGGGTTAAAAAATACTTGTGGCCACATATGGAAGGTGTGGAAAGAGGGGCCCAAATATCAACATGAAGTAAATCGAAGATAGCAACAGACTTAGTATTACTGTGAGTAAAAGGTAAATGTTTTTGCTTAGCCAAATGGCAAGTATTACAGGGCTTATGATTGTCATTGTAGGTGACAAGAGGAAATTGAGAGGAAATACATTTGTGTATGTAAGGACTTAAGTGTCCAAGCCTAAGATGCTAAATAGTAGCAGGATCGTGTTTAGCAGGTTCTAATTGGGGAGAAGAGGAGGTGTTGACAGAGCCAGATGTGGGATAGATGGCCTTAGGCGGGGTGGCATCAAGAACATACAATTTGCCAATCCTCCTAGCTGTAAATCCAGTCATCTTGGATTGGGACAAATGCATAATTTGACAGCAATTAGGGGAAAATTTCACATCATATAAATTGGAGTCAAAAACAGTGGTGACAGATATAATATTGACATGAAATGAAGGGAAGTAATAAACATTGTGAAGGACAAGTGAATCACATAGTAAAACTGAACCAGCAATAGTTGTAGTGACAGAGTCACCATTAGGCATTGTCATAGATTTAGGTGCAATGTGGTATGTGGAAAGGAAACTGGCAAAGATATGGGTGATGTGATCAGTGGCACCTGTGTCAATGATCCACCAGTTATGACAAGGAATATTCGAGGAATTCTTACCAGAGGAATTATGAGGAGAGGTATGGGAAACAAAATTAGCAGTATAAACTGAATTAATCGAGGGAGGTGAAGGAGATTGCAAGTTAGACTGTTGGAGGAGCTGCGGAATCTGAGTGTATTGCTCTTGAATCGTAGACAAAGCACTTGGACTGGTGTTTGATGTGGAAGCAGAGGAAGATAATGCCTCAAGTTGAGGAGAAGTAGCATCTTGAATTGAGTTCACTGTAGAATCAACAGAATTCCCCACAGATGTAGTAGGCTTGCGTTGTTGGAATCCAAGGGGATAGCCATGTTTCATGAAACAAGTCTCAATGGTGTGATTGGTGCGGTTGCAATGAGTACAGAGTCGGTTTCCACGGCCACCACGGCCACGACCACGAACATGGTTGTGAGAAGAACGAGAAGGTGCTTGATAAAGGTGATTCACAGACGATTGAGACTCAATCGAAGAAGCAGAAGGTGAAAGAAGGTTGAATTGACGTTCTTGTTGAAGAACCAGATTAAACACATTATCAAGAGTTGGTAGTGGGGTCATCAACATAATCTGTTATCGAACATGAGCGTATTGGTCACCAAGGCCCTTCAAGAACTTGATAACTTTATCTTGTTCTTTGAATTTGCGTAAGTCTGAAGCAGCACCACAGGAGCACGGTATAGCGCAAGTACAATCACGAATTGGCCGGAAGTTCTCGATTTCTTCCCAGAGTGTCATCAATTTCGTGAAG